TATCGTTGAGCGTGCCCTCCTACGATTTATGTTTTTAGTTTTTTGTATTTCTAATTCTTGATTTGGCTTAGACTGATGTAAATTACTTCGGTGCATGTTTATTTTGTAGTCATAACATAGAAAAACACAAGAACACCTAGTGGAAAAGATGAATGGTTCCAAGAGTAAAGCAAACTAGAACCATAAAAACAACAAAAATGGTAACAAAATTATGACAAGTAAGAACAACACATAAAAAGCAATAAAGATAGATAAGGAAACCAAGGAAACTTAGCTTTTGAGGAACCAATGCTCTTAATACCAAATGATGGAAACTTCCTTAGTTAGGTTGGGCCAAAACTAGGATATGTGCATGGAGGGATGTTTCTTTGGATGGATGGTGCGAAAAAGTGGTGGTAAATGGTCCAAGGATGATGAGCTAAGGTGTGGATGGGGTAGAAGCTCATGGCTTTTAGGAGATATGGTGGTGGTGTAGTGTTTGGTGACTCCAAGACAGATTAGGCCAACTCAAGGAGAAAAGTGTGTAGAGAGGCCTCATGGGTTGTTCTAGTCTTAATCTAAGATGAGTAGCATGACAAAAAATGGACATCATAACATTACTCAACATCAAAGCTGAATACATGATAGGAGACACCTCTATTTATAGGTTAAAGATGTTTCCTAAAAATCCTAAAAACATGATCTCCTACCTTTGCTCTTATTAGCTAAAACTGAGGCCTTTAAAGGAGTGGATAAGTGTCCACAAATCCTCTCCAAAGGACATGTGACCACTAACAAAACACAATCCTCTCTATTCCTAGAGTGTCATGTGACCATTTATAATTTATATTTCATAATTTATAATTTAATAATTTTTTGTTTTATTTTTTTATTTTATTTTTTTATTTTAATATTTCATAAATTTATAATGATATATTTTATAATTTTATAATTTAATTAACTTTAAAAGTTAAATAACACAAATATTTTAGAGAGATCTTGTCATAATGTTCTGACAAAATATTATATGACAATGTATAAAATGAGGATAATATAATTGTCACATCATATAGCTAAAATTCTAAAATAAGAATTCAATTGAAAATTTTTAACATTTTAAGGACTCAATCGATTGCAAAACTTTGATGGACACTCGATTGAGAGTTTGCATTAACTAATTCTTTGAATGAGTTCTTTGAATGACTTGTTCTAAAATATAAATTTTAAAAAATTAATCTTTTAAAAATAATTCAATTATGTATGTATAAATAAAAAAATCAAATCAAATTTTAACAATTATTCAATAATACCAGTTTTTCGTTAATAATTTTATTTTTGTTACTTAATTTAAAAAAATATTTAAATAAAATTTATTTATAATTATTAGAATTTATTCATATTTGTACCATTAATATTCATACCCATTATCTATCCAATGCTTAAAAGAGTAGTCGTCAAACCCACAACAAATCCACATAATGAGATGCATCATTTCATAATATCATTCAATCATATAAAATGCGATTTTTTCCTGGTAAATTGAAGAAGAAAACTAAAATTATGTAGAATTTCGCTAATTACTATTACTAACAAAATAAATAAGATACACAAAATAGTGTAGTTCAAAGCTTAGAAGCTCGTTTTCACCGTTAGACCCTATTCATGTGCTCTCTTCTTTCATTCCTTTCTCAGTCTACACATAATGACATAATAACTACAACTACGACAATACACTAACATCTTTCCTTTTTTTTCTTCTTCTTATTGTTTTGAGTCAATGTGAGATTTGCAACAAATGTTAAGCTTGATGGATGTCCTTGTTTCTCATTTTCAATTGGGTTGCAAATATGGCACAATGTTTATCTGAGTATAGTAAGCATTCATCATGTTTATGGTTGATAATTTCAATGAATGGTGAATTGTGCTATTAATGTGATCTTTAAAACTATTCACTTGTAGAGGTTCATATTGAATTGATGTGTATGTTCATCCTTCTTTGCCTTTGTGGTGTTTGTGCAATTAACAATGCTTATGATTGTGTTAAATAGAGGAGGGCATAGCGGTGTGAAGTGCTGAAATAGTGGTGAATAATGACCGAGAGAAATGGGCCTTCTTCATTCAAGGTTGGTTTTAGAAAGTCATTGTTTTGCTTCTTTACAATGACATCGCTTATGTTCGTCTTGTAGCGGTTCTTTGTTATGCAATCCACATATCATCCTAATCACATGGAGTACAATGTGATACCCAATTCAAAGCATTTATCTGCATTAGATGGTTCAAAGTATCAGATGCCGAAGCAAAATGTTGAATCCTCATTTGGGAACAGAAAACTAGTGAAACATGATGAAGGGAAATGCCACCAAAATGATGAACTTGTTATCAAGGTTTACATGTATGATTTACCACGAGAGTTCCATTTTGGACTCTTGGATTGGAAACCAAATGAGAATAGTGTCTGGCCATGTTAGGAATAATATACCTAGTTACCCTAGGGGCTTGAATTTGCAACATAGTATCGAGTTTTGACTTACATTGGATATTCTTGCATCAGAATTCCCTCAAGCTCCTAAGGCTAGGACTATAATCAGAGTTCCGAATTCTTCAATGTAAAAACGTTCATGTTATATCAGGAGGGATTTACAAATATAATGTGGATAAATTTTTAAAGACAATAATCATTCACGCCTCAAGAAATCCATTTTAGATTGTGTTTTGATCAAATTCTCCAACACTTGTATCATATTATCAAGAAAACTCTAAACACTTCTTCAAAAGTCAAATAAAATATATAAAAGATTCTAAACCCGATGGTAAAGTTAAAGGTTGTGAGTCATCCCACAGTTGCCATGATTTGGGGTCCAGCTGACAAGATGTAGCAAGCAATCCACTTTGTTGGATGGACAATACCAGATTCAGTTTCATAATAGAATAACTAGTCCAATCGTTATCATTTTATTCCAGTATATTCTCAAATAAATCTTGTGTTCTCAAAAAATGACTAGTGGATTTTAAGAAAATGCTTCATACTTGAGTCAGGACTTTTTTGTTTCTTCGGCATCAATATGTCTCCAGGGGTTGAGAGCTTCTCTAATAGCCTGAGCATCCGGGGAGTTCTCCCAAGCACGCTTTTCTGACTCCAAAACAGTTACTTTGTCATCTGTACAAATACAAGGCAAGGAAAAATTGAAACAAAAATCAGACTTTTATAAAGTCAAAATCCTTTGGTGAAAACAATCATGGGGGGTTATCGCAATACCTTAGAAAACAATTATTAAATTCTCTACATACCCCAAATAACGTGTTTATTGGGCAACTTGGCCAAGACAAATAATGTAAAAGACGTGTATAACAGAGTTCACGATATTTTCCGAATTTCATTTTCATTGGAAGACCATGGTGCTCCATGAAAAAACATCACTACATTAGAATCCAAGATACTAATCTAGCAAACCAAAATCAATAATCAGCTAGTACTAGACAACTCAAGGCCATATCTTTTTCCTTTTCTTTTTTAATCCTTAATATGTTTACTACCAAACCAACCTTATAGGTGTTCACTCAAAAGGTCATATCATATTAACCAGAATGAAAAATCTTTTAAAAATTTTGAAAACCCACTTCAACAAGAGCATTAAATGGAAAATCAAGAAAAGGGTAATGCAGGGCAAGAGAGGTTAGAGAATAAGATAGGAAAGTTCTCACACAGAAGCCAGTTTTGATCATGAACACCTCCATTGAAGCCCCTATCAAAGCAGATACAAACCCAATCTTCAAGTACCAATCAAGAAACTTCATTTTCAACTGAACCAAAAGGAAACAATGAATATTGAAGTTAAAATATGAATACACAACTGGTTAATTGCAAATTGAACACCACTTCTAATCTAAACTTATAGCTAACTGTTCAAGTACAAACTTATTGTGAAAGACTACAGTCTCAACTAATGTATAAATGGATTAACATTTTTATCATCTAGAAGCATTTGAAATAACTACAGCCAGATAAGAAGCAGATTGAAGGAAGCAGAGGACACGTTGTGATTATGAAAAATCTAACACATTAAACACTGGAGTTGATATCAGCAAAAGATTTTTCACCAAAAGACAAGCGAATAGACAGTTGCTCAATGTCCAAACACATGGTTATTACCTAAATTGTACACTGCTCANAGGGCATGGACCATTTAGAAAGAGACAGGATATAGAGAGAGAACCCTTAATTCTTTGAATATAATTGCTCAAGAGTATAGCATGTGAGTGTTAATTTATTGTAACTTAAGAGGCTATCTACTGTCTGTAGTGCAAATGCTTATAAATACAAATGATATAGCTTATGTTTCAACACTCTCCCTCAAGTTAGATTAGATAAATAAATCACTGTAATCATGTTATAAAATCAGGACTTACAATGTGTTGCAAAAGACAATAAAAAGCTACTTGGTTACACACTAGCTCAAAAGGGAAATTCCTTTAGTAGTAGATCTACTGGTGTTCTGTAAGTTCTGATTTTGCACTTTGAGAAATATTTAAAATTCTAATTTTTCCTTGGTTTTATGCACATCTTGACTTTTTCTTATTTTCTCGTTCAGTTAATTTACTCTGAACAAACAGGAGGGATAATCTGTTTTCAACATTCTGTTTGTCACAGGTCAGGATATTCTGGCACTAGTAGCAAACTTGACGGTTCTTCGTCTCCTACACCCAATGCATGTACAGCTGCCAATAATGAGCGAGAAAAGGTGTCAAGGGGTTCAGTGGACGGATCAAATAAGGAACGGGTTGTACTTAAAGGAAATAAGTATGTATATGTCATTCATATCCATGATGCATTTGTTATAAATAGCTTTTAATCATCTCTGATAACATTAATTTACAACTTTTCAGTTAATCTCTTTGCTCCCCTTTTTTTAGGTTTAATGTCCGTGACAATAATCATACTGGTGGTATCCATACTTTGTCGAAAGGAAAAGCTTCAAGGCCTCCGCGAACTGGTGCTTTGATGGCTGGAAACTCATGTTCTGCTTCTCGATCTTCTGAATTACATGAAACTGAGGAACAACCTTTAAATGTGAACAAGCCTCATTCAGTAAGTGGTACTGTAAATCGCAAGCGTCCTTTGCCTGCAGGATCATCTTCATCCCCTATGGCCCAATGGGTTGGGCAGAGACCCCAGAAAATTACTCGTACTCGAAGAGCAAATGTTATGTCCCCCGTCTTAAATTGTGATGAAGTGCATACATCATTAGAAGGTTCGTCCCCTTCTGATGTTGGTACCAAAATGTCTTCTACTATTAGTGGATTACATACATCCAATGGTGCTATCAACAGTGGCATTCAACCAGGTAAAGTGAAACATGAAAACATGTCATCCCCAATCAGATTATCTGTAAGTCAAGAATCTGGTGCTGGTGAAAATAATTTGAAGGTGAAAAGAATGGAAAGTAATGAAATAGATGAAAGTGCCGCAAATCATTCTTATGTTACAAGTTCCTCAATGTTAACATCAAAAAATAAAAAAATAACGTACAAGGAAGAGCTTGGAGATGATATGCGTAGACAGGGAAGGGGTGGTAGGGGCTCTTCAGTTTTGAAGAGTGGCATCTTGCCAATGAAAGAGAAGTTGGAGACTTCAACCTTGATGAAGCCAATTAAAAATATGAAGCCTGCTTCTGAAAAGAATGGAAGGTATAATTCTCTTTCTCAGTCTCTTCTGGTTGTCAAAACAAACATGGCACTTTCCCTGTGCAGTAGAGAAAGCTGCAAATTTTTTTAAGACTTTGTCTTTGTTTCAGTAAACCAGGGCGTCCTCCTTTGAAGAAATCATGTGATAGGAAAGCTATTATTCGAACTGGGCATCCATTGACTAACAATTCCCCTGATATATCAGGTATATCCATATGTTTGAGTCACTACTTCTTTCCTGCATCATTTATGTTTTCTTTTATACAGAGTGATAGCAATAAACTCTAATTGTTAAAATTGATTTAAAATTACAAAATCATCATTAAATCGGAAGTGGAACCAAAATTTTGTAATTTCCAATGATATTTTGTTAGTAGTAGTGTATGGAGTTTAGTGCTAGCATTTCTCTTTTGTATTCTTGCTCTTTTAAGGGGGATATGTTAGTTATCAAGTTAGATCTCATTGGTACTTTGTGGGGGAATTTTGTGGATACAAAATTTAAGATTGTGTTGCCTGTTCGTTTTTGCATAATGGACTAAACCATCTGAAATGCCAGTGGAGGATGATGATCGTGAGGAGCTATTAACTGCTGCTAACTTTGCTAGCAATGCCAGTTGTATGTAACTAAACTCAAAAAACTGGTTTATGCTTTTGCAGTTGTATTCTTGCCAGTTGCAACCGTGTATACATGTATGTGTAAAAGAATTCCATTTATATGTTGCTTTTGGCCTTGGCAGATATTGGCTGTTCTAGTTCATTCTGGAAGAATGTGGAACCTATTTTTGCTCCTGTCAGCTTGGAAAACATGTCCTACTTGAAGCACCTGGTGGGTGCTTTAACTATATCTGCTTTTATGAACTTTAAGTGGCATTTAATGGAGGCATTTTCCCTCTCCTTTTATGTTATTCTTGATATCAGGTTAAAACAACAGACGTTGATCTCAGATGTCTGTCTCAAACGCTAGGCCTTGAAAGTGATGCACTGGTAATGTATAATATCTTATATTTGCAGCATTTTATCTTTTTGATACCTCGTACTGTAATGTCAATTGGCTTTGTACTTGTAACAATGTAATTACTATTTTAGTGAGCATGTTTCCTGCTTTTAGTTTTAATTTGAATTTGAGGTTGCATGTAGCTGAAGTACGATTATTTTGTTAGTTATTTGCACCACCTCCAAAGTAAACCTAAACAGCAATTCTGGAGCTGTTATCCCAATTTTATGGTTCTTACTATCATTATATTCTTCCATTCTTTTGCATCATATATATTAGCCAATAAGATGCATCACATCACATTGACGTGGTAAAACCTCTTCTATAATTTGTTAGTGAAATATATGTGTCTTTATCTTGTTTAATTATTTTCCATAATTTAGAAAAAACCAATTATGTGCTGCTCATTGCATGAGTGCCTCTACCGGAACATGTTGAATGATGTCTGTCTGTTTCTCTATCGTGGGAGAACTTACAGGTTCTGGTCCATTTGTTTTTTAAAGTATTGCCTGTGATTATTCATTATACTACGTTGAAAAGCCGTAGAGCATAAATTAACTTTTGAAATAGGTGACGTGAACTTGAATGTTAAAGGAATTTAATTTGTATATTGTCAGTGTAAAGATTAAGTTGTCAAATGTCAACTGATTAGAAATTAACTTAGATATGACTTTTACATTAATTATTTCAGAAGTGAAAAGTGAACATTTTTCAAGCACATTTACATTGCCAATGCTTTTTAAAAATTAGATGTTAATTATCCAATCTTCAACATTTATCTTTCATTTACATTCTCAGGATAGACTTACACACACCGAAAATCCTGTTTCACAAAGTCCTCTCTCTAGAGAAAGAGATAGAAGCACTGTAAATCAAACTGATTCGAAAGAGATATCCTTAATGGATGACATGGTTGATCAACATCTTGATTTTAGTATTTTGTGCAAACAAATGGGTTCCGAAGGAAACAAAGTTGCACCATTGTATCAAAGAGTGCTGACAGCTCTGATCATTGATGATCAAATTGATGAAGACATTGTTGGAGATGGACATATGACTTTTCTGTGTGAAAGGGATGGTTCTTCTCAGCTGCCTTGCTTCTTTCAGGGTGTTGAGAACCAATCCAACATCAAGATGGAATATGTATTCAACTCTGGCAAGGTTTCTTGTAATGGGAATGCTATGCATACTAGTTGTGCAAACATCCCTATAAAAGAACCTGGCGTTTCTTTGCAGATTGATCAGGGATCATTGTGTCCAGAAATCGAAAGGCTGGCCATATTATCTGAAGATGGCAATGATGGGTCTTTGGGTATGCACATAAATTCATGCTCATCATCTTTCAGTTGCCATTTTGAGCAAATGAGCATGGAGGATAAACTCTTACTGGAGCTACAGAGTGTTGGCCTATATCCAGAACAAGTGGTAAGCTTCTCATTTTTAGAAACTTTTAGAAGCCAATAGATCGTGGTTTATTCATATGGGAGGTTTTCTGTATGTTTCAACAACTATGGCTATCCATGAAATTGGTTTGTTAGAGATAGTTTGCTGTTTAATTCCCTATTTATTTAAACAAAATTAAATTTCCTCACTATAAAGTTGGCATATGCATAGTTTATGGTTCAAGCTAAAATGATCGTGTGATGGTGTTAAGAGATTTGCTGTTTATATGCCTCTGTCTAATTTAATCTCTTTGGAACAGGACATGATGTGCTTTTAGAGAAATATTATTGTTTAGATAGTTTAATGCGTATTAAATATGGTTAAATTTGTTCATTTTTCTAATGAGGCTTCAATTTTTAACTGATCTCCTTATTGTTGTCTTATAAAAGCCTGATCTTGCTGATGGAGATTGTGAAGCTATTAATCAAGATATTATGCAATTACAGAAGGGACTCTTCCAACAGGTTTTGATTCTTTTGTTTTATGCTTGATATGACTGCTGAAATGTAAGGTAGTTAGTTGTCTTGGGTGAAGAATCTCCTTATGATCTTTAGTTATTCTTGATTCATTTATTTACTCAATTATGTACACTCTATTTGGACCAATTTCACAGGTCAATAAAAAGAGAGAATGCTTTATGAAACTTATTCAAGCAGTAGAACGAGGCAGAGAAATGGAACAACGGTACTAAATTCAGAATCATGTGGTTTCTTTCATTACTTGATTATACTTTTGATATTGATAAATTGTTTCATGTGTTTATCGTTTCTATGTCGATAAATTGTTAGTTGTGTATCTTTAGGCATCCTCACCAATAACTAATATATGTCGTATACTTTGCAGAGCCCTTGAGCAAGTTGCCATGGACAAACTTGTCGAGCTGGCTTTTAAGAAAAAACTGGTAAATAAGTTTTTTTCTTGTGCTTTTTTGCTGTTTTTTTGTTCAATGAATTGATAATCTGTTGAATGTGGATGTTGTTACAAGTTGCAACTGGTAATTAAATTGAGCTATTTAACAGATTATTTCCAATATGTTATTTGTAATTGAAATGCATTGTACTTTTTTTTATTACGGAGGTTACTGTCTCCTCTCCCCTCATGTTTACTAAGCATGTAGCATGTTCCCTTCAGATTATTCTTTTAAGAGTTGTGCAGTAACAATGCTTTTGTCGGAAAAGAGTTAAGGTAGCATAACATTTGCTCCGTGAAATGACCCTCGATAATTTTTGCAGGCAACCCGTGGAACTAGTGCTGCGAGATACGGACTTTCTAAGGTCTCAAGGCCAGTTGCTCTGGCTTTTATGAAGAGGACTCTTGCTAGATGCCACAAATTTGAGGAAACAGGGAGAAGTTGTTTTTTGGACCCTGTTTTTAAAGACGCCCTAGTTGCTGCTCCTTCTCATGACAACAATACTGGTCCAGCTAATGCTGCAAACCTATCACTTGGTCAAAATTCTCAGCAAGAATTCGCACCTTCAGGTTTCCTGTTTTAATTATTTTGGAATCATTTGGTATGGTACTCATACTGGAATAAATTGAGCAGAGGCGTCATGCTTGTCAAGAAACAATTTCCTTGGGCTGTTGATTTTTGCTTAATTTATTTTATATCTCCGTTCCTTTTTTTTTCTGATATCTTGATTTGGACTAAGAGGATAATTGCTTAACAAATTGGGCCTTGTTCTTGCAGGCTATTTCCCTCGCAAGGAGCAGGATGTGTCTGGAAATCTAGACCAGCCCTCCGACCAGGACTTTGCTAGGACAGGACCAATTGTAAACAGAGGGAAGAAAAAGGAACTACTGCTTGATGATGTTGGTGCTAGTCCTTCTCTAAGATCTGCATCAACTCCTGGTGGTGCAAAGGGAAAGAGGAGTGAGCGAGACAGGGACAAAGACTCTTCTGGAAAAATTTCTGTATCAAAAGGTGGTCGTTCTTCTACAAGTCATACGAGGGGTGAGCGAAAAACGAAAGCAAAGTCTAAACCAAAGACAGCTCAAATATCTAGTTCTGGAAATGGTACTCTTAGCAAGTTAATGGAAAATAATAACTCTGAGCATCAATTAGCTTGTGGTTCTAATGAACTTATTTCCAGTCATGGCAACAGAAAAAGTAAAACTGGGTCTGTACCTCACAATGTGTCCACTGGAACTGAGGAACGCACGGACATCACAAACCTGCATGAATTAGACTCCATAGAACTAGGTGTAGGTAATGAACTTACTGGACCTCAAGACCTGGATTCTTGGCTGCTGAGCATTGATGACGATTTGCAAGATAATGACGCTATTGGCCTAGAGATACCAATGGATGATCTGTCTGATTTGAACATGATTTTATGAAGACGAATGCAAGATACTATACATTCCCAATCCCATGCAGTATTTGGTATTTATGAACAAGGGTGCTGTTCGGTGGAAAGGTGCTCATACAATTCGTGCCTCTTATGACGGGAACTTGTAATTATGCCCATTCTTTTGTATACTTATTATCTACAAAATACAAACATAGAAACCCAAAGAAAGGGTTAAAGAAAAAGAAAGATCTAGTCAATTGTTCATATGATCTAGAGTTCTTTAGGTTGTAACTACTACATTCTTCAACAAAATTTTGGTCATCCCTCTGTGCATTTTCCCATATGGACTTATAAGTTATTTACAATGTTAGAACCTATCAGCTTTATTGTACGCACTTTCAAACACCTGCCAGTATACGCTATCGTGTTTTATGCTATCATGTTTTTTCGTATAGTGATAGCTCTAAAGTTTGAACTTCACTATCCAAATCTCCCTACAAGGTTCATGGTTTTGTGATGTGGGCTGACGAAGTTAACTGTTTTGCATACAGTGTTTTGTTTCGAGTGCGCCTGCGTAGAAATGTTGATCTAAAATGTTCTTGCTGTTACAAGGGATTTCCTGGTTTTACTTATTCTTTCTTCAATGAAATTGTTTAATGATCTATTTGGCAATGCCTGACTGGTTCCTTTCACGATATTTCAGGTTGTTTGTGATTTCAAAAGTTGAATCTTGGAATTATCAAGGCAACTGGTAGACTTATTTTTGTCTTGGTCTTGAGTTCATATGATTTTGTATAAAAATATCAAATATTATGTTTTTTTTTTGTTGTGTATGCATAAAATGAATAATTTGTTAATTTTAAGAGATTTTAAAGTAAACATAAAATTAAAAAATGTGATATCTTCATATTTTTAACAAAAGTATGGAAGCTTAAAAACAAGACATTGAAGTATTCGTATTTGTAAAATTATTTTAAAAACATCACGTTTTAGAAAATATTTTTTTTTCTCTTCATTTTCAACTAAATAATACAGATTTTATACATTTTTTCCGAGTTTCATTTTGAATAACTGTCTATGCACTAATAATGTAAAAAATAAACTATCATCTCATACGGAATAATTATTAACTTTTATAATAACTAACAATTCAGAACTTATACTAATAGTAATTTGCACTGATGGATATTGTACAAATTTTAGCTCATTTAATTTTTATAATTTAAACAATTATAATATAAAACATTTCAGAATAAATAAAAAGTAAATTACATTTATACTTTTTAGGAATTTCACAAATATAACTGTAAACTTTTATTTTCCTATTCTTCGGATAACTTTTCTTAATTATTTAAAATATACTACAGAAATACACATACACTTTTTTTTTTATTTACATACTAAAAAGAAACGTGAGGGATGTAAGGAAAATGAATTATATCTATTCTGGGTTTTTGTAATTTTCTTTGCTTTGTTCAACCATTCTCACCCTCTTCCATTTTTATAAACCAGTCTCAAGAAAACCACACAGAATTTCATTTTGTGGACGGAGAAACCAATGCCTACAACTACTACAACTTCTGCATCATCGCAATTCATCTCAAATTTCCATTCACAGTAAAATGATTCGCCAATCGCTCTACAACACTCCTTCCGTCTCCTTCTCAACCCCATCTCCCACTGCTCATAAACGCCACCGTTTAGCTCCTCCAAGTTGGGGAACAATTCGATGCGACGCATCGTCGGTGTCGGTAGAGAAGAAGGTTGTTGGGCCTGGTGGGCTGGGCCCGCACACGGGGCGAGACCCAAACGTGAAGAAGCCCGAGTGGTTGCGGCAGAAAGCTCCACAGGGTGAAAGGTTCCTAGAGATTAAGGGATCCCTTTCCCAGTTGAAGCTCAACACTGTTTGTGAAGAGGCACAGTGCCCCAACATAGGAGAGGTTAGCTTCAATTCTCTTCATTGCTTTTGCTGTTATTTTTGAGTTTTGGATTGTAATGTGTGTGTGCACAGTGTTGGAATGGAGGCGGAGATGGGATTGCAACTGCGACAATCATGCTTCTCGGGGATACTTGCACACGTGGCTGTAGGTTTTGTGCCGTGAAGACCAGTAGAAACCCTTCACCTCCTGATCCTATGGAACCGGAAAACACTGCCAAGGCCATAGCAAGTTGGGGGTGAGTGGGGTGTTTGGATTATGCTACAGTTGATAGTTTGATTAAAAAAAAAATCGTTATTCTCTTTTAATTCCGAGTTACCCTTTTCTGCAGTGTGGATTATATTGTCCTTACAAGTGTGGATCGTGATGATATACCCGATGGAGGAAGTGGCCATTTTGCTCGGACTGTCAAAGCCTTGAAGGTGCTTTGTTATACTAGAATGTTGTTTTATTATGCATTTCACAGGGTATACAATGCAAATTGTATATACATACTGATTGTTGCCTGTATGATTTGCTTTTGCAGAATCTCAAACCTGAGATCATGGTCGAGTGTTTAACCTCTGATTTTCGGGGTGATTTGAAGGCTGTAGAAACTCTGGTTCATTCAGGTTTAGATGTCTTTGCTCACAACATTGAGACAGTCAAACGCCTCCAAAGAATTGTTAGAGATCCTAGGGCAGGGTACGTTGCATCTTGCTTCGAGAGATTTGTCCTCGTATCAACCATAAACCATTGTTCCTTAAAAGTACAATAAAATCTAATATATATATATATATATATATATATATATATATAATTTCTTAATTTAAAAATCCAACTTGATAACTAGAGATAAATATTTTTTGAGGTTCAACTTTTTTAAATAATATTTGGGTCTTAACTTTAAGATCTTAATCATACCGGTGACCTAATTTTTTTTATAAAATTTAAGTTTAAAATTTATATTAATATGTTGTGAAAGATCAAATAAGTTAGAGATGAGATATATCAGGGTTGTTAGATGATGTGTTTATCATACACAACTATTTTCAATCTTGAAATTAATATATTATTTTAAGTGTAAGGGAGAAGATTTTTCCCAAATTAAAGCTTAACAAGTTGGGAAGATGTGGAAAAAAAGAATTCTAATCAAATTTTTTCCATCATTTAAATATATAGGTACTAAGACTCCATTGCAACATTTTTCCAAGGATTGGATGAATATTTTTTTTAAAATATGGATTTGACAAAGTAGCACGACTCGATATATTTTATAGTAGACTTAGACCACAAACAAGAATGTTGCTGAATGTCTCAACAAAAGTAATTATGATGATGAAGAGTGTTAAGGAGGCTACTACAAATTGAATCACTACCAACTAGTGATCACCAAGTACAATATGACATAAATTGTAGCTAGGGAAACATGATGTCATATTAGAACAAAAGAAACTCATTTCTTAGCAAATGGAAAAGTTGAAAAAGCATATGGAAAAGCTATAGCTTGAGTCACGAGCTTATAGTTCCACGCAACAGATTTTAAAATGTGATTTTTTTTGTGCAGGTGAACACTAGAATGGTCATTATTCTGTTGTTGAAACTGCAAGGAAAAAAGAATTACACTTCATGAATAACAACAAAAGACCAGATAACTACTCCAACAGTTGGAGACAAATCAAAACCAAAAACAACAACAAAGTTGGCGGCAAGATGGTGGTTCAACCAGCAAGCAATATGCACAAACAAACTATCATGGACAACAACCTCAACAACATGATAGATTATCAAAAATTGAGGATTCATTAACACAATTAATCCAGGTGTCTACATCAAATAAGAAAAAACAGAAGCATCACTTAGAAAATTGGAAGTGTAGATTGGACAACTAGCAGATAAGCAAGAAGCAAAGCTCACGGTCAACACCAAAATTAACTCAAAGGAGCAATGTATAGTCATCACAATGAGGCAAGGAACTATTATAGGTAAAGGAATTGGTGATGACTTGAGAATAGAAGAGAGGAGTGAGGAAGCTAAAACAAAAAAAAAGAAAAAAAGAGAGAAAGAGTGTGAGCATGATTCTAAAAAATTGAGAGAAAAACAAAATGTAGAAGAAGATGAGGAGTGTGTATCTATTCAACAAGAAGTAGTGAGTGAAAAAGAGAATGAGAAAAAGAGAGATCATGAGAGAGAAAAAGAAAGAGGGAGAAAAGAAAAAGAAGTTGTTTGAATATGATAATCCTCCTATCACTTACTTATTGTACCCTCAGAGACCAATCAGGAAGGACAAGCAAAGACAATTCACAAGGTTCCTAGATATGATTAAAAGGTTACAAATTAATATACCATTCACTGAAGCCATGGAGCATATGCCTACCTATGCAAAGTTCATGAAATATTTGTTAACCAAAAAGAGACAAATCTTGGAAGATGAAATTATGGAACTAGAGGCTGGATGCAGTGTAATTATTCAAAAGTCACTGTCATAGAAGACTACTGATCCAGGTAACTTCACAATGCCTGTAACCATAGGACAATTGAAATAGGNATAAAATTTAAGTTTAAAATTTATATTACTATGTTGTGAAAGATCAAATAAGTTAGAGATGAGATATATTAGGGTTGTTAGATGATGTGTTTATCATACATAACTATTTTCAATCTTGAAATTAATATATTATTTTAAGTGTAAGGGAGAAGATTTTTCCCAAATTAAAGCTTAACAAGTTGGGAAGACGTGGAAAAAAAATTCTGATTACCAAGGATTTAAAAAGATTTTTCCATCATTTAAATATATAGGTACTAAGACTGCCATTGCAACATTTTTCCGAATATTTTTTTGTAAAACATGGATTTGACAAAGTAGCACAACTTGATATATTTTATAGTAGACTTAGACCACAAACAAGAATGTTGTTGAATGTCTCAACAAAAGTAATTATGATGATGAAGAGTGTTAAGGAGGCTACTACAATAATTGAATCACTAGCAACTAGTGATCACCAAGTACAATACGACATAAATTGTAGCTAGGGATAGATGATGTCATATTAGAACAAAAGAAACTCATTTCTTAGCAAATGGAAAAGTTGAAAAAGCATATGGAAAAACTATAGCTTGAGTCACGAGCTTATAGTTCCACGCAGCAGATTTTAAAATGTGATTTTTTGTGTGCAGGTGAACACTAGAATGGTCATTATTCTGTTGCTGAAACTGCAAGGAAAAAAGAATTACACTTCATGAATAACAACAAAAGACCAGATAACTACTCCAACAGTTGGAGATCAAATCAAAACCAAAAACAACAGCAAAGTTGGCGGCAAGATGGTGGTTCAACCAGCAAGCAATATGCACAAACAAACTATCATGGACAACAACCTCAACAACATGATAGAGTATCAAAAATTGAGGATGCATTAACACAATTAATCCAGGTGTCTACATCAAATAAGAAAAAACAGAAGCATCACTTAGAAAACTGGAAGTGTAGATTGGACAACTAGTAGATCAGCAAGAAGCAAAGCTCACGGTCAACACCAAAATTAACTCAAAGGAGCAATGTATAGTCATCACTATTAGGCAAGGAACTATTATAGGTAAAGGAATTGGGGATGACTTGAGAATAGAAGAGAGGGGTGAGGAAGCTAAAACAAAAAAAAGAAAAAAGAGAGAAAGAGTGTGAGCATGATTCTAAAAAATTGAGAGAAAAAAAAATGTAGAAGATGAGGAGTGTGTATCTATTCAACAAGAAGTAGTGAGTGAAAAAGAGAATGAGAAAAAGAGAGATCATGAGAGAGAAAAAGAAAGAGGGA